AAGGGGCAGGTAGGATTGGGGCCAAACAGACAAGTAGGGCAGGTCAGTGACTGCTAATTTGGTAGTTTCTGGAATCTGCAAGGGGAAAGTGGCCAATGGCGAAGTAAGTGCATTCCCTGTGAGAGCAGGCGCACCGAGGGGAACTGCTGTCTGAGGTGGTCTGAGTTGTATCCTCCAGCCCTGTGGCTGCATCTTCCTTGCGGTGCCGTGTTTTCTCCAGGCTGATGTCTTCGGCAATGACCGTACAAGGAAGGTGGGGGGCGGAAGCCTCTCACTTCGACCCCACGGCGGTGGCAGTAGCAGCAGCAGCGGCAAAACTCATGGCGTTGGAATTTTGTTTCCAGGACCTGCAACCAACCGGTGTGGCTGGGGAATTTCTCCTTGACAGACTCCCTAAAAGCCTTTCTCTCTTGAGTCTTTTTCCTTGACTTCATAAGGTTAGAGGGCTGAGTCCGTGGCCTTCATCAAGCTCTTCCTTCCTCACCCTCTCTGGTAGTAGGGGCAGGAAATGGCGGGGCTAGACACACCTGCTGCCCCTCTGCCTCACTCCTGCAGACAAGCGGGAGGCCTCCAACAGGGCTGTACCGCCCTTGGGTAAGGAGTTCATGGAAGGCGTCTGTGGTGTCTTGCCCAAGCTACCTTCTTGGAATAGAAGTTTCCCTTCTGAGGCTCAGGATGCTCCCAAACGTGCGACTTCTTCTGTCGCCAGAGACCTAGATCTTGATGGTATGTGCTCACCCCTAAGGGGGCCCCTTTCTGGAAGTCCCGGCTTTTGCACGCTTTTCTATGGTCTTCTTTTGATATCCCCTTCCTTCACGCCCCTGGTGACTTCAGCTCAGTTTTTTTTTTTTTCTTAAAGTGAAAAAAATTTTAATTCCTTTCTTTCTTCTGAGAGAGGGAGCATGTGGGAACAGCAGAGAGAGCAAGACAGAGAGAATCCCCAGCAGGCTCTGAACTGGCAGTGGGGAGCCCGATGTGGGGCTCAAACTCACAAACTGTGAGATCATGACCTGAGCTGAAATCAAGAGTTGGATGTTCAACCGACTGAGCCACCGAGGCGCCCCTTTAGCTCAGTCTCCCTTAAACAAGGCTCTGGAGGGTGACTGGATGGCCCTGGCCTTACAGAGGTGACTCCCTGATTAGATGACAAAGGAGGAAGAGAGTCAGTGTGTGTCCAGGAGGAGGGATCTTTAGCATTCCCGAGTGGACAGACACTATGAGGCACACGCAGAGAGCAGCGGCTCCTTCGGAGCGTCCCCCCGGGGCCACCAGAGAGGACTGCCTGATCCGATACCACCCATTTGGCAAAGGGCCAGACCCAGGCAGAGATGCCTGGGGAAAGGGCCAAGGAGAGGTGCAGGGTGATCTCAGCCGGATGAGAAGCACATGTGTGGGAGGGTGGGGGGACAGGGCAAGAGAGAAGCTTGCTGGGGAAGTTGCCCATGAAGGACGATTTGTGTGCTGTTTGGGAGCGTGGTATGAAATGTGGAGGGCTCTCCTGGCTCCGCGCTCCTCCTCGGCAAAACGTGCACCGTTCGGCCTGAGGCTTGTGGCGCAGCACTGGAACCTGGGACAAAAAAGCACACCAGCTAAGCCCACACCCACAAAGGGCATGAGGAAAAGTTGCCAAAGGCAAAGGGCGGGGCCCAGAGACTGAATCCGGCAGGACTTTCTAGCATTTCCTGACCTCCCACTGCTGGGTGCAGGTTCCAGACGGGCCTGGCAGTTTGGTGAGACTGTTAAAGACTCTAAATTCCGAGAGCCCACAGGACTGCCACCTCGGTGCCTAACTGGAGGGCAGAGGCAGAGGCAACCTGTGGTTGGGAGTCAGCCAGCCCATTTCCCTACGGTCACCAGAGGACAGAGCCTGCTCAGGGCCACAGCAGGGGAGCATCCTAGATCTTGCCAAGAAGGCTGTGACGTGCCTGAAAGAAAATGCATATGTTAGATAGATGAGCTTCATTCAGTCATGAGTCATACTGCTATTAACTCTGAGTTCAATGTTAATGAATCAACAGTATAGCACATCCAAAAGGAGGAAGAAACTCACTGGTCTGTAGATGAAGCCACTCAAGAAAGTGTTCATAGTAACTTGCAGAGTGTGTGGTGAAGCAATGAGAAAGATGTGAAAGCAGCTGAAGTTGTGGATTTGTGAGATGAAGGAAAAAAAAAAAGATAGGAGAGCATTATTGTGAGCTGAAAGCCAAAACTGAGAGTCATGTTACCCAGATGGGGAAAATGTTAAAACCCTGATCCGCCAGTGCTAGTTGGCTTGCACATTTCAAGAGGCAATACATTATAAACAGTGTTAAGGCAGGTCCTGCAGATCAGGAAATGTTACAGGAAAAGCATGAGGGGGAAGAGTAGGTTTCAATGCCAACGAGACTGGCTTGTTTTACTAGGCTTTTGGCAAAGGAACGTATATAATGCAAATGGCCTCCAAATCACCAGTCTTCAAATTATTCAAGTATCGTGCAATCTTGCAGTTGTGTGTCAATACCAACAGCAACCAACTTTAAGTACGAGCCCATAAAGGTGTAGAGAACTTCAAATCCACCAGAACTGAAAAGGAAACTCTGGTTCAGGAGTTCGGCATATGCCATACACCAGTCCGCTGCAGGTGGAACAAAAAAAATTTGAGAGATGTCAGAAGCATTCTGGGATGCTTCCACAACGGCTCATCCAAGAAGCTATATTTACTGCTATCTCCAGGGCAAATACTTTGCCTCCAGGGTTGTATTAATTTTGGATAATGCCCATTGGCCCATTGTTACGAACTCGCAAATGCCCACCCCAACCTAGATGTTCTTTTCATGCCCCTAAACACTGTCATCCAACCTCTCAAATCAGGACATGACATAAAAGCTTTCGTGGTACGCCACATGAGGGAGCTTTATACTAAAGCTTACAACACCAACAAAGAAACATGGTGGTTACCATGATGGACTATTGCAGTCGGTCACTATGCGAACTGTCACTGGTTACTGTGTTGGCACAGTCTGGAGACTGTCCCAACAGTGGCACAGCTTGGACAGCTTGTCCCAACAGCTTGGCACAGTCAAGCAGACTACTTTCAGGAACTTGGGAAAATGGCAAAACTGCCTGGAAATTTTCAAAGGCTTTGAAGGTGTTACGTAAAACATAAAGAACAGTGTCAAGTACATAATGCATATCACATGACAAGTAAGTGGAAAAACTCCCAATGACGTGAGGGAAGATGTGGAAGAAATACTGACAGAGAAGGTGGTAGAACCCACAAATAAAGACCCAGGAGAGATAGCCAAACAAGGCACTGAAGTCAGTGATGATGAGGATGGTGATGAAAATCACTCTACCACTGAATGAGTCGCCTTTCTCGCAGCAGCCATGTATCAGAAATTCTACTTTGGAAAAATGTTCCATGACATAAAAGAATGTGACCCAATGGTTGAATGAAGCCTCATGCAATTTTTCAAGCCACTTCACAAAAGGAAACTGCTGATGTCAACAAATGACAAGAGGGGCGCCTGGGTGGCGCAGTCGGTTAAGCGTCCGACTTCAGCCAGGTCACGATCTCGCGGTCCGTGAGTTTGAGCCCCGCGTCAGGCTCTGGGCTGATGGCTCAGAGCCTGGAGCCTGTTTCCGATTCTGTGTCTCCCTCTCTCTCTGCCCTTCCCCCATTCATGCTCTGTCTCTCTCTGTCCCAAAAATAAATAAACGTTGAAAAAAAAAACAAAAAAAAACAAATGACAAGAGTCAAATTCCTGAGGTAGAACTGATACCCCACACTCACTGTCTTCCTCTTCTGCAGAATAAATACCATCAACTATGCCAAGGTCAAGAGGTTTCTTCAGAGTGCACTGCTCTATCACCACATATCCAACAACTCTATCAAAATTAGTTTTAGTTAATGTCAATCTTTGATTAATTTTAACCTTTTTTCTGGACTTTCTTCGCATGACTGTACAGTATAACACAGTGTATGTGTTCACATTACTGCTTACTGTGTTTATTGTGTGTGAATACTAAATTATGTATACTTTCTGTGTGTATCACTGAGTTAAAGCAGTATAGTAACAGACTAAGTTACACAAAATGATGTAATTGAAATATTTTTATTATAAGGAAATACTGCATATAATTTATTTCTAGGGAACATGTATTAAATAAATGTCTTTTAAACAGAAAAAAAAATTCCATAATGGGTTACGCATTGATTGGTTGATGAAAATGTGAACAGAGGCTCACAGGAACCTAGGAGCTATGGCTCAGTATTCACCAATTCAGTGTTTGTGATCAATGTATAGAATACAACTACAATGAATAACAAGAATTGACTCTGTGCGTGTGTGTGCGTGTGAGTATTTAAGTATTTCATGACTCAGGCCTCTACATCTCTCACAAACATTTATGCTCAAGGGTAAAAATCACAATGTTTTCGAATAAAAATTAAAAAAAAAAAAAAAACAAAAGCTGGCAGCAGAGCTGCCTTCAATGGTCCAACTCTCCTGACTACGGGTATATAATAAACACATAAAGGAGATGAGGTATTTTTCATCTCTCATCCCCCCCATATCCCCACCACCCCCCAATGACAAATTATCACAAGCTTGGCAGGGAAATTAGAAGCCATACACGCATTTTGTTTTCCTTTCTTTTCTACATCTCCTTCACTATGTCTCATTGTACTTTTAAGATACTTTTGATATGGTTCTGTAGTATAAACATGGGAAGAATTCTTGACATTTTTCCTAAATGCATAACCACGGGGTCTCTCTTCTGGATCAATCTCAGGGGTAGTTAAAGCTCTAGGCTTGGTCAATTTCTAAGACGACCTTTGAGAGGACCTGCCACAAAGAAACTTTCACAGGGATGACAATTATGTTTCTCTTCAGTATGAATTATCAGATAGTAAAATACTTCTCTGGCCAAAATGTTTTCCTGAATAGTTATATTCAAAAGAAAAGGTATTTCACCAGTACGAGTTCCTTAAAATTGAAGTGAATGACTTGCAAAGGCCTTTACACTCTGGTATGAATTTTTCGATGGTGAGTAAAGGATGAACTGTGGCTGAAGGTTTTTCCACATACACCACATTCAAAGGGTTTCTCTCCAGTGTGAGTTCTCGTGTGTTGAGTTAAGGAAAAGTTGTCACAAAAGGCCTTCTTACAGTCTTTGCATTCATATGGTTTTTCTCCAGTGTGGATCCTATTATGACGAACAAAATTTGCCGGTTGGGTAAAGGCCTTCCCGCATTCTCTGCATACATAGGGCTTTTCGCCAGTGTGAATCCTCATGTGTCGAGTAAAGGAAGAACTATAGTAAAAAGCTTTTGCACACTGTTTACACTCCAAGGGTTTTTCTCCAGTGTGGGTCCTATTATGTCGGATAAAAACCGAGTGGTGTGTAAAGGCCTTTCCACATTCACTGCATTCATAGGGCCTCTCACCAGTGTGAATCCTCATGTGCTGAATTAAAGAAGAGCTGTCACAAAAGGCTTTCCCACATTCCTTGCATTGAAAGGGCTTCTCTCCAGTATGAGTCCTCTTATGCCGGACAAAAGTGGAGCGATGAGTGAAGGCCTTTCCACATTCACTGCACGCATAGGGTTTCTCTCCAGTGTGAATCCTCATGTGTTGAATAAAGGATGAGTTGAGGCAAAAAGCTTTTCCACATTCTTTGCACAGAAAGGGTTTTTCTCCTGTGTGGGTCATATTATGCTGGATAAAAGTGGAGCGGTGAGTAAAGGCCTTTCCACATTCACTGCACTCATAGAGTTTCTTTCCAGTGTGAATCCTCATGTGTTGAGCAAAGGAAGAGCTGTAGTAGAAAGCTTTCCCACATTCTTTGCACAAAAAGGGCTTTTCTCTAGTGTGCGTCATATGATGCTGGATAAAAGAGGAGCGGTGGGTGAAAGCTTTACCGCATTCTTTGCACTCATAGGGCTTATCTCCAGTGTGAATGCGCTGGTGCTCTGTGAGGTGAGACCTGCGTTTGAAGGCCTTCCCACACTCCACACACTTGTATGGTTTTTCCCCAGTATGAAACCTCGTATGTCGAATGAAGTCGGCCATATAACGACAGGCTTTCCCACATTCGCTGCATTTATAGGGCTTCACTCCAGCGTGAATCTGTTGATGCCGAACAAGGGCCCAATTCTTGCTAAACCCTTTTCCACATTCTTTGCATTTATACAGGTTATTCCTTGCATCGGTCACAGGGTCTTTTCTGGGTCCTTGGCAATCATGTTCATGTAGATCATCTTGTATAGTGACTCGCTCCTGTAAAATGGTTAAACACAAACTATCATCTGTCTCCAAATCATCATGTTTATGGCTCAACTTCCTAGGGCATGTCTCCTCGTGGGGGTCTGTTCCTGGCCTCAAGTTTCCTTCCTGCATTTCTGATAGCTTTTCCCGATCCCTGGCTTGCCCCAACCTGGAATCCCTCGAGGCTCCCTGTGTCATTTGTTCCTCAAAAGGGGCTTCCTCAGTGAAGGCCAGCTGAGAAGCAGTAAACTCTGTGGTCTCAGGTTTTGCTTTTTCACCTGAAGGAAATCCAATACAGAAAGGTGTCTATTAGCGATGTCAATGCAGAGCAAATAAAATTACCATCTGAGTGGAAGAATGAAGATGAAATCAAATCCTTCTGACGCCTGTGGCATTTACACATCTATCACGCTCAGGTTTACAATTTCTTTCTTCGCTAACCCACGCACTCTTGACATCTTTAAAAGCTAACCCGGGAAGAAAAACTTGGGCACGGCATAGAGAATGCGGAGTGGAGACGACTCCTCACTCCCCAGAATGGAGGAGGGTGGGCAGAGCGATGACTACACTGTGCGTAACGACTGCGCCCTAACACGTCATGGTATGACAGCACAGGGAAGGTACACATAACTTGGCCCACGTGGGAGACAGAAAGAGATCAGTGGAGGCTACCCAGAAAAGGTTCTATGGGAGCTTATTTCCAGAGGAGAGTAGGGGCTCCCTGACAGAAATAAGAGAGAAACTGCAGTATGACAAAGTACAAGGGTGCAGTGTCTTGACAGAATGCTGCATGCCAGGCAAAGTGAGGAGGATGAGAGCACGATGAAGATGAGGATGGAGAGGCAGGTGGGGACAGAGGAGACACGAAAGCTCGCGGTTCTGGGCTGTGTGATAGTGGGGGATGGTGAGAAGCTAGCGGGTGGGCATACGGAGTCTACTTTGTCTGGGTAAAGACTAGGTGAACAGATGCCAAATAGATATCATCTAGATGAAGAGAATTATAAATGTATCACATTAATGAAGATCTATGTGAAAAGGGAGATTAGTCATATAAAGTTCTCCTTAAATTCACCTACAAATTCTATACAACTTCAGATTAAGTGTTTAGCTGATAGAGTTTTTCAAGGATAGTGACACGCTCATTGAGGAATTTATATAAAAGAACGAACACACCAGGATATCTCCACAGAAGAATAAAGCAGGGACATTTGCCCTTTGAGGAATTAGGATGATGATGATTAGATGCATCAAGGCAGTATGATGTAGGCATAGATTTAAGATAAACTGCCAAACTATCAAAGGAAAAAACAGAATTGATAACTCAGAAATGTACATATATACTTTGATATATGACAGAAGTAGCAGAGCGGCCAATGGGGAAAGGAGGGACTATTCAATAAACGGATCTAGAGAAATCATTTGCCATATGAAATTGCATTCTTAACCTCACACTGCATAAAGAACTAACTCCAGACTGATTAAGACCTTACTGTCAGAAGCGCAACATTAACAGTTTTTAGTAAATAGTATAAATGAATATCTTTTAGATCTTGGCAAAGTGAAAGATTTCATAAGATACAAAAGCATTAACTGTAAAAGAAAAGACTAGTCAAATTGACTAAATATAATTTTTTAAAAGGCAAACAAGGGTGTCTAAATATCAGATAAAGTAAATGAGAAGAAGAAGGTCATTATAGAATGATAAAAAGATCAAAACACCAGGAAGATGTAACAATCCTAAAATGCATGCAACAAATATCAGAGCCTCAAATCAACCCAAAAACTGAGTTCAAAGGAGAAATAAACAAAACCACAATTACAGGTGGGAAATTCAACACTCCACTTTTTCATCGCAGAAGATACATATTGGCCAATGAACACATAAAGAGGGGCACCTGGGTGGCTCAGTTGGTTGGGTGTCCAGCTCTTGATTTTGGCTCATGTCGTGATCTTGTGGTTCATGGGATCGAGCCCCGTGTCAAGCTCTGTGCTGAAACACAGCCTGCTTGGGATTCTCTCTCTCTCTCTCTCTCTCTCTGTGCCCCTCCCTGGAGCACATTCTACCCCTCTCTCTCTCAAAAATGGATGAATGCACATTAAAGAAAAAATATATGAAGAGGTGATCAACTTTCTTGAATATGAGGAAAGGGCAAAAAGACCACAATGAGATACCATATATTTACCTGACTGAAAATAAGAACATGACAATATCAGGTGTTGGAAAGGATGTGGATCCATGAAATCGTTATTATAATGCAGGTAAAGAAACAGCAGGGCAGCATCTAGTAACGTTCTCCTTTAGCTTACCTGATGATAATCGAAAAATTCTAGCCCTTGGGAACACTACTAAGAGAAATTCCTACACATGCATGAGGATATAGTGTATGTGAATTTTCATGGCAGCACTCTTTGTGGGTGTGAAAAACTGGAAACAAGAAAATGCCCATGAAGATAAATGAATACACTGTGTTATATTCATGCAAATGACTACAGAAGAAAAAATAAGTGAACTATACCAACGTGCCGGGTGAGTCTTAGCAATACACTGTTGAATAAAAAGTACAAATCACATAAGACAATGTAAACTATGATATGCTTTTTATAATGTTCAAATAAAAAAGCAAAATATACACAAGTACAATGAAGTAATTTTTAAATTTGTTTTGAGAATGTCAGTTTATAATGGTATTATAAAAATGTGTGCATGGGATACACGAACCCCTATGTTTATACCAGCATTATTTACAATAGCCAAGGTATGGAAGCATCCATCAACTGATGAATATATAAAGAAGATGAAATACACACACACACACACACACACACACACACACACACACACACACAATGGAATACTCATCCATAAAAAAGAGTGAAATCTTGCCATTTGCAACAACATGGATGGAACTAGAGAGTATAGTGCTCAATGAAATAAGTCACTCAGAGAAAGACATATACCACATGATTTTGCCCATATGTGGAATGGTAGAAACAAACGAACAAAGGGAAAAAAAGAGACAGACAGAGACAAACCAGGAGACAGATTCTTAACTATAGAGAACAAACTGATGGTTACCAGATGGGAGGTGAGTGGGGCGATGGGTTAAATAGGTGATTGGGATTAAGGAGTGCACTTGTGGTGATGAGCACCAAGTGATTAAGATAAGAGTGTAAAAACATATGTATATATCTTGCATTTATTTATTTACTGTGGTAAAATTTATATAAAATTAGCATTTTAAGATGAAACAATCTTAAAATGTAATAGAATAATTAGATGAAGTGGAAACATTCCTTGAAATATTCAAATTACCAAAACTGACACAAGAAAAAACAGAACATATGAATAGCCCTATATTTACCCTCAAAGCAAATCTTGTTATGGACGGAATGTTTGTGTTCCCCCAAAATTCATGTGTTGAAGCCCTAACCTCCAATGTGAATTTGAAGATAGGGTCTTTGATAGAAGCAATTAAGGCTAAATGAGGTAATAAGCGTAGGGCCCTGATCTGATAGCATTAGTGTCCTTATAAGAAGAGACACAAGAGTGTTCTCCCTCTTCTCCCAACCATCCCCAGCACACACACCACATCTGGAAAGACTATGGTCTCCCTTTGTCTTCTTGTGAGGATACCAATCCCATCATGGGAGCTCCACCCTCATGATCTCATCTAAACCCAATCATCTCCCCAAATACTGACCTCCTAATATCACTCTGGGGGTTAGGGTTCCATCATATGAATTTTGGGAAGACACATAAAATGTTCCTCACAGTGTTACATGAGAAAAATCATACAAATCAACTAGCCCAGTATATGGCAAATATTCAGTAAGGTGTAGACCACCATTTATTATCATTATTATAGGTGTTACATTTGCCAGTCAGAATGTCAACAGTAATGTAAGAACATTTTCAGTACTGCAGTGCTGAGAAACACTACTGAGTCTCAAAGAGTAAAGGGGAAGATGCCACCTGCTCCCCAGTATGCACAGCAGTGAGGACTACTGGGAATGTGAAATGGTGCAGTCCCTTCGAAACTGTTTGGTGGTTTCTACCGAAGCTAATCATACACCTAGACCATGATCCAGCCAGTCCACTCATTTGCATATTCCCAACAGAAATGTGTGCTATATCCAACAAAAATATCAAGAATATTCGTAGCTGTGTTCTTCACAATATTCCAAAAAATGGAGCCCAAGCCAAATAACAGTAAAATGGGTAAATGAAATCTATTCATTCACTGAGACACTGCACAGTAAGAAATAACTCCAAATTTGCAACCGCATGACAGACTTCGGAGCAATAATGATTATCAAAAGAAGACACACATAACAGTATCATGTATTGTGGGGATCCATTTATAAGTCTTCAAAACTCATCTACGGTCACTGGGTTGAATGCCCATTATTTTTGTAGAAGGAGATATTAACAAGGAGGGAGCACAAGAAGCCTGTGAGGCACTGGAAATACTGTATTTTTTTGACCTGTGTGGTGGTACTCGGGTTTATATGTGTAAAACTTCAGGAAGATGAACCTTTAAGATTTGCACATTCACTATGTGTAAGTTACGCTTTAGTACAGCAATTAAAGAAAATAGTAAAAAATAGTAAAGGGGAGGCCTAGACATCCTGTGTAGATGTCTCTTCAGAGAATGAGAACACTCCTCCGGGAAGCTTGGCTGTTCAGGTGAAAGAGAGTCATCAACATTTAGATGCTGTTGGAGAGCCAAGAGCAATTTTTTCATGTTTCCCCCCGGGTCAGAAACTTCACTGTGTTTTCTGAGAGAAGATGAATTAGGTGAGAAGGTGAAGATACAGAAGAGGCAAGAAATAAGTTGAAGACTCAAGGTCCCTGATGTAGCAGACTCTTGTTTGGCTTCCTGTAATTCCTAACTTGTGATGCTTACAACCTATTACGATCCCTCTAGCTAAATGCTACAGGGCCTTGATTTTGCTTCTAAAGAACAGAATATGGCATTTGTAACAATGTGGATGGAACTAGAGTGTATTATGCCAAGAGAAATAAGTCAGCCAGAGAAAGGCAAATATCATATGATTTCACTCATATGTGGAATTTAAGAAACAAAACAGATAAACATAGGGGAAGGGAAGGAAAAATAAGATAAAAACAGAGAGGGAAGCAAACCATAAGAGACCCTTAAATACAGAGAACAATCTGAGGTTGGGGGGTGGGTGGATGGGCTAAATGGGTGATGCGCACTAATGAGGACCTTTCTTGGGATGAGCACTGGGTGTTCTATGTAAGTGATGAATCACTAAATTCTATTCCTGAAACCAATATTACACTATATGTTAACTAACTTGCATTTAAATGAAAAAGAACAGAATATGCAAAATGACGGAATGTAAGAGATGAGGTTTTGTGTCCCATCCATCTTGCTGGAGTCTCTCCCACCATCACTTGATCTGAAGAAGGAAGGTGACATGTTGTGAGGTGCCTATGACTGTGGCTTGTAGCCGACCCCAAGTTGTGCCTGGACCTCTCACCCACGGAAGGAAAACAGTAAATGAGTGATATTTTAACCTGCTATGTTTGTGGTAATGTTGCCACACGGCCATAGATAACTAACACACCTGAAAAGGCAGGTGACGGTGGGATCTAGATCCATGCTGTAGATAAGAACTCTACTGCAGAGGTGAGTCTGTAAGGGTGAAAGAGCAAGAAAACCAAGCACGTAGCCTCTATTCTGTGTGAAGTAGGCCACAATGCTGAGTTACCAGTAACGAGGCAGGTGGTGATATCTGGAAGAAGGGGAGTGGTTGGAAGCAGACGGAAGACACAGAGCAGACCAGAGGCACGTAGCAGATCCGGGGAGACCAGTTAGACTTCTGTTAGAGTCATGCAGGCAGGAGACGACTACAGCTTGGACTAGGGTGCTGATGCAGAACTGGCAGAGTTGGTGAAGGTGACAGATTCAAGAGACATGGATGATGAAACGTGATCAACATTCAGGAATGGCTGGATAGAGGGTATGAAGAAGGTAGAGGTGTCGCGGGGTCTACTTTTGTTGCTGGCTTTCTTGACTTATTCGATGGTAAGACCATTAATTGAAAATTGGGAGAGGGCAGGCGTGAGCCAAATCGTGAGGTTCCTTTTAGGATGAGAGTGTGAAGTACCTCTGGAACATTCAAGTGAAGATGTGGAACTGCAGAGGGGGGTGAAGATGTGAGATAGATTCTAGGGGTGAGGAGGGGGTGGCCAGATACTCACTGGCTGAGCAGCCAGAAGGAACACGAGAGGAGAGAGATCATGAACCGGCACTGGCACCTCTCTATCCACGTGATGGGTCCAGCTGCCCTGAGCAGCTCAGATGTGGGGCTGACAAGACAAATGTCTCCCTGAAGTTTTATAAGACAGGAGGGCAAGAAGACAACAAGGCTAGGGATTGTTTCTGAATATGTTTCACAAACGGATGGACGGATGCATGCACGGATGTACTGAGGAATAAATGAATGAATAGGGAAGGTGGAAAAGGGAGGGATGCAAGGTACAGCTGGAGGTAGTAATCTGCAGCAAAAGAAAGGACTATCTTTTCTGAATTCGGAAGGGAGTCTGAGATAACATTATTCATTATGACTAATAATGCACAAATATTACTCACCTGTAACCTTTCTTACTTTGTCACTTACTTTGGGTCAGTTAATAAACTTGTTAATTACAAGTTTCCTGCTATCTAATTACATTTCCAAACGATCCAATGATGCAGAAACTATCATTACTGTGTTTTCTAATGTAGGCTAGTTTAGCAGACCGAGTGTATGTTCATCATATTGCTGGCCCCTTCCTCTTGGGCACAAAGCTGAACCACATTTCCCAGTCTGATGCAACATGTAGCCTAATACCCAGCTCTTGTCAATGGAATGTGAATGGAAGTGAAGTATGTGTGCAGGCGGATACGACTACAGATCTTCCTCAACCTAGGATGGGGTTACGTCCCAATAAACCCATCAAAATGCCTTTCATATACCTAACCTACCACACATCATAGCTTAGCCTGGACGACCTTAAACATGCTTGGTACACTTACATTACCCTACAGTTGGGCAAAATCATCAAAAGGAAAGACTGTTTTCCAATAAAGCGTTGAATATCTCATGTAATTTATTGAATATTATACTGAACGTGAAAAACAGAATGGTTGTGGGGCGCCTGGATGGCTCAGTCAGTTAAGTGTCTGACTAGCTCAGGTCCCGATCTTGCGGTTTATGAGTTCAAGCTCCACGCTGGGCTCTGTACTGACAGCTCGGAGCCTGGAGCCTGCTTCAGATTCTGTGTCTCCCTCTTTCTCTGCCCCTCCCCTGCGCACACTCTGGCTCGCTCTCTCTCTCTCTCTCTCTCTCTCTCTCTCTCAAGAATAAATACACATAAAAAAATTTTTTTAAGCCAGAATGGCTGTAAGTGTACTGGTTGTTTACCTGCAGGATTGCATGGCTAACTGGGAGGTGCAGCTCACTGCACTGCTCAGCATCGGGGGACACTACCCTGCTGCAGTATCACCAGCCCAGGAAAAGATCCAAACTCAAAATTCCAAGTCCAGTTTCTACTGCATGTGTACCACTTTCACACCATTTTGAAGGGGAAAAATCCTAATTTGCACCACTGCAAGTTGGAGGCCGTCTGTCCTCTCCTTCTCTCCTATTCCCCTTGGCGAGTTGGATGGTGCCAGGGCAACCTTATAGCCCCATACCGACAACAGAATGCACCTGGGTCCCTGAATACGTGGTACAGAGTCCCCCTGCTGATCCACATTAACCATGGCATGAATGAGAAAAAAACTCGTTATCTGTTGACTCACCTAGATTTGGGAGTTTATCTTTTATAGCAGAGAGTTAACTTAGCCTAACTTGTCTATCAAAGGTATAGTGAGGTCATGCAACTTCCCCAGGGTCATGAGGCTGGTGAGTGGCTAAGCATTTAGAGCCGTGTCTTACTCAGTATACCACATTCTAACCCTAATAAAGCCAGAGTGTGATGAGGAGGAAAGACAGGGGAAATATGGCTGGAGTACTCCATCATCAACCAAGACCCCAGGAAGGCCACAAGAAGCAGCTACCCATGGAATTTCAGAAACAGAGATCCCCCGGTAATCTGTCAGTTGCCATGAAACCCATCTGCCATGACACCCACCTGCCAGATTCTCAGCCACCTACCTGTATAGGTGCTTTTGGAGACGCCTCTCTTCCCTGTCCATAGTTCTTGCCCAGGCTCCAGTGGGTAGATCAGTTCTGGTTTGGGAACAGGATGTCCTGTACATGGAAAAATAAATGGGGCATAGGTATATAGGTAAGGACAAAGGAAAAATTCTCAAGTATACAGGGTTCAATCTCATGAACCATGAGATCATGACCTGAGCCAAAATCAAGAGTCAATCCTTAACCGACGGAGCCACCCAAGCACCCCAGAGAACTATGTTTCTTATACAACAATCCCTGTCATAGACACAGGGATAATAATCAAAAGGTTAGACCAGAATTATGGTGAGGCTGTGAGGAGAGAGGAAGTTGGGTCCCAGAGGCCTTCTCAATCAGCCATGCTTAGAGAAAGAGGATGGAATGAAAGTCCATGGGTATCACTCAGGAGAGTGATGAGGTCTTACCCAGTGAGACCAGGAGCCCACAGGTCTCCAGCATCACCTCCTGGTATAAGGTCCTCTGGGCCAGATCCAGTTGTCTCCATTCCTCTCCAGTGAAGGTCACAGCCACGTCTTCGAATGACACTAATGCCTGCAACGTCAAAGAGAGGTGGTGGGTGGCTGTACATCTAATAAATGAGATGATAACCAATTGCTTGGCCACCAGCGCAAGTCCAGAAAGACCTGAGGCCTGAACCCCTGAGTAATTCCTGAGAACCTAGTTCTGTGCTGGGCTCAGGAGAGAGGCAGAGAGGCAGATGGTGCCTCTGACAGAATAAAAGGTGTAGGAGAGAAAAGCCTCCTGTGTAAGGAAGCCACTGGAGAAAGACACAAACAATGCTCATCTCATATGGGTTGTGAGCAGCAGATCAAAAGTGCTCTGGGATGTTGGAAGAATGGGGAAAAAGAACTCAAATAATGACAGTAGCAGCGGAGCCTTTCTGGTCCACACTGCTTGCCTGCATCTGAGGGCTTCAGACACTGTGTTAAAGCAACCAAAAGCCCGTAGGTCTGGAGCTAGACTCCTGGAGTTTAAATCCAGTCTTGGGGGCACCTGGGTGGCTCAGTTAGTTGGGCGTCTGACTTCGGCTCGGGTCATGATCTCACGGTTCGTGGGTTCGAGTGCCGTGTCAGGCTCAGTGCTGACAGCTCGGAGCCTGGAGCCGGCTTCGGATTCTGGGTCTCCCTCTCTCTCTGTTCCTCCCCTGCTCACACTCTGTCTCTGTCTCTCTCTCAAAAATAAATAAACATTAAAAAAAAAATTTTTTTTAATCCAGTCTTGTGAACCAACACATGCTAACTTCTTTCAGCCTTGATTTCTCTATCAATACAGTAATAGTTTATGCTTCATCAGGCTGGTGTGGGAATTAGAATGTCCTAAAAGCAAACACTGCAAGAGTCCAGCACATGCAGTGCTCGATGGATTTGTGAATTTCTTAACTGTTTCACAGCCCACGAGGTAAGCGCCATCTTCTCCGTTTTTCAACCAGCAAACTGAGGCTCAAGCCACATCAACCAGAGTTGTCATGCCTAATAAGACGGGGCAAGATTTGAACCCAGGTCCCTCTGGTCCAGCCATGGGGGGGAGGGGGTTAGATTTAATCTAAGTATGAAAGAGTCCCAGAGGGAAAAATCTTTCTTTCTTTTTTTTAAGTTAATTTATGTATTTTGAGAGAGAGAGAGAGAGAGAGAGTGCACACATGCGTGAGTGTGATGGGCAGTGAGCAAGGGAGAGAGAGAATCCCAAGCAGGCTCTGCACTGTCAGCACGGAGCCCAAATTGGGGCTCTGTCTCATGGACCGTGAGATCATGACTTGAACAGGAATCATGAGTCAGAGGCTTACCCAAGTGAGCCCCCCAGGCGCCCCAAGGGAAAAATCTTTCACTCATCAATCACTTATTGGGCACCGGTGCAGGCCCAGCACTTTCTAGGCCTAGGGACAGAACAGACAACAGGACCTCACACTCCAGGGCTGGGGAAAGGTCCCCAACAAGAAACTAAATAAATGAACAAGATCAAGTCACACGGCCCTAAGGGCTCCAAGAACCAACAAAGGACAGTGAGGTGACTGAAAACATTAGGGGACTTATGTTCCCAAGGCAGGGCAACCCGGGAAGGCCCCCAGGGCAACGGGGGAAGGCTCCCCTGAAGGGTCACTGGAACAGGCGGAAGTGAAGTCGGGGAGCGGGCCAGGTAAGAAAAGATGAATAACTAAGCCAAGTGGTCGGAGGCAGGATGAGAGTAAACAGGGTGACGTGCTAGAGAGTAACTGAGGGCCTGTTGTGTGTTTACATCCCCAGAGACACAGCATTCCTGCACACCGTCATTAATGAGAGTCACTTCACAAGCACAGGTTTTCCCCACTATCTGAAAGCAAAGTGTTCCTATGAAAACTTTTCTAAGCCAAAAGGGCAGTAAAGTGAAGAGTATCCCTCACTTTCTGGAAGTTCCCTTTACTGCCACTTTGCTTTTAAGAAAAACTTACATTGGCAACTCTTTTCACCAACCAAAAGAAATCCAAAGAGGATTTTTGTGTTTACCTTACTAACGTAAGTCTCTCCTAAAAGCCAGTGGCAAAATCCACACCTTTGGAAAGTGTAGGAACCTGTATAAGAAAATGTGTTCAACAGGAAAATGGATTCACTGCAAACCAACTTCACTTGTAGTACACAGACGGCTCCTGCAGAGTTCAATCCGGTGACTGTCTTGTCTTCCCACCTGTCCAGGGACCTTCTACTGCTATCAGAAAAGCAGCAATTCAAAAAACGCGACTCCCCCCTTACCTCTGCTCTAGAGCTCCCATCCCCTACAGACCTGTGGCAGGGACGGACCAGACTGTCCCTGGAGTGAGCCTAAGAGCAGAGCAGGGCCAGGGAAGTCCCTCTCAGAAGCGCATCCAGAGTGATGTTCTCTGGGTCATGCTGAGCACTGAAGGGCACACGTCACAAGTGTACCCTCTCTGATTCCCTCAACTGAGAAAAATCGTTAATACACGGTATTCCAATTTCAGATTCGACGGAATGGAGGCCAAGGGCAGTGAAAGGCAAGCTGAGGTCAGAGGCAGAAATGGGGGTCTCCCCTGACAACCCCTGGCCTGGATTCAGAACCCGGGGTTGGAAGTAAGTAAGATCTGCTCCTCTCCCGCCCCCATTCCTCCAAGACTCCCAGATCCAAGAGCATTAAGAAGGAACGGCGAAGAGTCCCAGGATCTATATCCCATTGAGTGGAACCGTGCGAACACCGACCGCAGCGCGCGTGGGCATGTGGGACCCACCACTCACCAGCGCCGGCGCCGCCATGGGGCCCACGGCCGAGCGAGACTTCGCGAAGCTGCGACTAACGCCCGTCCCAGCGGGCTCAACCGACCCCTCGCCCCAGCCCTGGGCCGGGGGGTCTGGCACCTCGGTCTCCTCTGTGTAAACGCGCAACAAGGTCCAAGGGGCCGCCTGCGGGTACCGCAGGGACGAAGGGCTGGTGCCGAGGCGGGGGGCAACCCCGTTACAGGTGGAGTCAGGGCTCAAATAGCTCAGGCTGTAAGCCCCTTCTGGGAAGCAGCCTCCCCCGGCGCTCCAATTACAAGCTCCGCTAAGCACAGACCCGTTACAACCAAATGAGGTCCTAGAGAGGACGCCAGAAGTCCCGCCCACTCTGCGGCAGGAAACGCCCCTCTCCGCTCTCCGTCATTGGCTGAGCGCCCGCCTCTGACGTCAGAAACACTCCTGCTGGGTAATGTAGTTTCTGACTGAATCTTAGTGACGGGGCGTGTACTTCCCATTCTCTGAGAAACGTCGTGTTTAAGTTCCAAAGACAGGGCTATGGCTTTTAAGAGGTTGAAGGAGAAGCACATAGAGTTTAGCAGCCCTTCAGCCATACATAAAAAACAGATCCAGAATCCAACCACTTCTTCCACTTCCATGGCCCCCATACTAGTCCAGCCACCACCAAAACTTACCTGGACTAGTGTAATAGCCTCATCCCTTGTCTTCCTGCCTCCTCCCTTACTCCCCAAATCTGTTCTCCACTCCGCAGCCAGAGAGGCCACATAACTTCACTGTTCCCATCACATTCAGGAAAACATCCAACCTCTCAGGCTACCACTCCACACCCAACTCTTACTCTCCTGATCTGCCAGAAAGAAAAGAGAGCTGTGATTCTCTGAACATTCCCAGCTCAGCCTCACCAAGTATTTGGACATGCTGGTACCTTTGCCTGGGATAATTTCCACTGGCTGCCAGACATAGGAACTGTTCCATATAAACTCAGGACCTGGGGCTTGGGGTTTCCATAAGCACGTTCCCAGCTGAGGTCGAAGAAGATGAGACTCTGCCTTCTAATTTCAGCTCAATGCTGTAAATAAGAGTCCTGTGAATGATATAATTACTGCCACATTTTTAGTGAGGTTGAGCTTTTAGTTGGTGATTTTGCTGTTTAAAATGGGCCGTAGACACAGTGCTGAAGTGCTGTCTGGTGTCCCAAAGCACAAGAAGGCGTGATGTGCCTCATGGAGAAAACACATGTGTTAGATAAACTGTGTTCACGCATGAGTTACAGAGTTGTCAGCTATGAATTCAATGCTAATGAATCAACAATATATATTAAATAAAGTGTCTCTAAACAGAAACATATATAAAATGACATTAAACATTGATCTATTGATGAAAATGTTGTGCAGGGGCTTACAGGATCCTAACCCTCCAATTCCCCTAGGAGCAGTGATTCCATATTCATTAATTCAGTGTTTGGGGTGACTTTACAGAACATAAGCTATGGCAGAAAATGCGAATAGACTGTAGCTGGTTTCCAGGGACTATTTAGGGGTACATGCAAATGTACGTCGGATCATGTGTAGACCAATGTTGGAAAGTGCTGCAGAGAGAACAGTGGAGAATAGGTGAGAGATGGAGGCCAGACAGGTGGGGGACTCAACAGGGACCAGAAGTCAGAGTAAAAATGACAGGCTGGCAAATGGGGAAGCAAAGGTGGAAATTTGGTGTGGCTAGTGACTTTGATAGGGAAAAATCTGTTATGAGATGGCCAACAAGGACTGATAGGGGAATTCCAGTCCCTGCCCGAAGACTCCTGTTCCGGGTTTTTCTTCCTACCCCGCTTGCCTCGCTCTCGAACAGGCTATAAATTGTCCCTGCTACTGACGCTCTGAGCTCACACCTCTGGAGAATGATCTCCTCTGAGCCCACCGGTGTAAAATAAACCTCCTGCCTTCCAAGATCTCCGAGTGCTGCTTGGTTCTTCCGCCCAGTGATCCAGACCACTGTCCGTTACAACTTGGATATGAAACAAATGGTAAACATGGGGCAGTTTGCCAGTACATTTGAACTAAGCCTTAACATTATACCCTCCCCGGGTCCCCACTTAGCAGGACCTGGCCCACTGTGAACTTCCCTGGCTGCAGCTGTACTTGTGTCTGCCTGGCCAAGCGCTGGGGGCTTCCGCCTGACCCTGCGCCAGTCGGGAAACTAAACGGGACCTGGAGGACACACAAGTCCTAAGGAAACATAGGGAAGATGAACAACCTAGCACACACAGAACGTGGGAACTACAACTAACATAAAGAACTGTTGAGGAAGTATCTCAGGCATAGCCTGGCAGTCCCTACAAGCATTGACCACGTCAGTGCCCAAATTCTTGGCACAGGCAGACCTCAGAAATATCAGGCGGAGGGAGGGGGAAGAACTTGGGGTAGAGAGGTGCCGCACATCCGGACACAGTCACCTGACTAGAGAGAGGCCAAGCTGGGTGGGAATCATTGAGCAGACTGGAAGAGTTCTGACTCCTAAAACTTCTGCTGGGCTTCCAGGCAGCAGACAGCAGGGCTGCTTGGGAGAGGGAACAGTGGAAATAGCCTATCCCGGACACAACACTTAACACAGGGAATCTGGGAATGAAGCAGTCCTCATTCCCATGGTCTGACTGTGGGAAGGATAGAATAGTATCTGGGTAAAAGGGGAAGTGAAGAGCCCAGGCCAGGATGGGGTGAAAGTGAGGGCCTTAGCAGGTGAGACTATAAGGGCAAAGTTCTCCAGCATCATGTCATGGTAGAAGAGTCTCTGAGCCTCATCAAGAAACTCCCACTCTTCCTAGGAGAGGGACACAAACACATCCTCAAACATCACATGGTCCTGCCATGATGGAGACAAGTAAGCCAGTGGTCAGCCTCTCTCCTGAGGAACCCTGTACTACCCTCCACATGCACCCACTGCTCATGCTTCTGCCCAGATCCCCAAATCAGGAACATGGGCCGACTCAGGCCCAGGCACTCAGGCCGTCTCAGGCCCACGAGAGGTGCCCACTCTCTCATCATGGTGATATTGACCGCTGTGTCCAGCCCACAGCCTCAAGAGGCAGGGGGAAGATGGATGCCATCTGAGCTCTGGGCCGTCCCTTCCTGAAAAGAACTGAATTGCCAGGTCCGAGGTTGAAGACTTACCCCTATGCTTCCTTCTAAGAGTTTTGTAGTTTTACCTCATATATCAGATCTATGCTCCATTTTGAGTTGAACATTTTATACGGAGTCAGGTAAGGTTCCGACTTTATATCTTTCATGTAGATATCCAGTTGTCCCATCACCATTTGTTGAAGAGACTATTCTTTCCCCATGGAATGGTCTTGGCCATCTCGTCAAAAATCAATTGATCATATATATATATATAATATATAGGTTCATTCTTGGACTCTCCTATTTTACTGCCAGTACCACACTGTTTTAATTACTACACATTTGTAGCAAGTTCTTTTTTTAAAAAAAATTTTTTTTTAATGTTTATTTATTTTTGACAGAGAGACAGAGCATGAGCAGGGGAGGGGCAGAGAGGGAGGCAAACAGAATCCGAAGCAGTCTCCAAGCTCCGAGCTGTGAGCTTCGAGCTTCGAGCTTCCAGCACAGAGCCCGACACGGGGCTCGAACTCACAGGCCGGGAGATCATGACCTGAGCCGAAGTCGGACGCTCAACCGACTGAGCCACCCAGGCACCCCCATTTGTAGCAAGTTCTGAAATCAGGAAGTATGAGCCTTCCAACTTTGTTCTTCCTTTTCTAAGATTGTTTTGGCCATTCTTGGTTCCTTGAATTTCCATATGAATTTGAAAATCAGTTTGTCGATTTCTACAAAGAAACTAGCTGGGATTTTGATAGTTGAATCTGTAGATAAATTTAAGGAGTATTGCCCTCTTAACAACATGGTCACATGAGTATGGATGTCTTTCCATTTATTTAAGTCTTCTTTAGTTTCTTTCAGCATGTATGTGACTTTCCATATACAAGCTTTGGTTACATTTATTTCCAAGTATTTTATCCTTTTTGATGATTTTATAAATGAAATTGTTCTCTTAAATCCATTCTGGGTTGTCCATTGTTGGTATTACCAACACTCAAAATCAGTTGGTTGATTATGGGTTGATTTCTTTATTTCAGCAGCTTTTTAAGATGTTATCCTACTGCCTTGTGGTATCCATGATTTCTGATGGGAATTGGCTGTTGGTCTCAATAAGAATCCCTTCTACCTTTAGCACTGCTGGTGGGAATGGAAACTGGTGCAGCCACTCTGGAAAACAGGATGGAGGTTCCTCAAAAAAATTTTAAAAAATAGAACTACA